TATTTGCAATCTTCTGCATGTTGACATCCAGTTATGCCAGCACCATTTGTTGAAGATTCTTTCTTTTTTCCATGGTACACTTTTGGCTTCTTTGTCAAAAATCCTATGTTCATAGGTGTGTGGATTAATGTCAGGGTCTTAAATTCGATTCCATTAGTCCATGTGTCAGTTTTTATGCCACTACCAAGCTGTTTTTATTACTATAGTTCTATAGTAGAGTTTGAGGTCAGGGATCATGATGCCTCCAGAGGTTGCTTTATTATACAGGATTCTTCTTCTTCTTTTTTTTTTTTGGTTTTTCAAAACAGGGTTTCTCTGTGTAGCTTTGCAACTTTCCTGGAACTTGCTTTGTAGACCAGCCTGGCCTTGAACTCACAGAGATCCACCTGCCTCTGCATCCTGAGTGCTGGGATTAAAGGTATGCACCACCACTGCCCAGCTATACAGGATTCTTTTAGCTATCCTAGGTTTTTTGTTTTTCCATATAAAATTAAGTATTCTTTTTTCCAAGTCTGTGAAGAATTGTGTCAGGATTTTGATGGGGATTGCATTGGATCTGTAGATTGCTTTTGGTAAGATTGCTATTTTTACTATGTTAATTCTATCTGTCCGTGAGCATGAGAGATCTTTCTATTTTCTGATATCTTCTTTGATTTCTTTCTTCAGAGACTCAAAGTTTTTTTTATCATACAGGTCCTTCACTTGCTTAGTTAGAGTTACCCCATGGTATTTTATATTACTTGTGGCTATTGTAAAGGGTGATGTTTCTCTGATTTCTTTCTCAGTCCATTTATCTTTTGTATATAGGAGGGCTACTAATTTTTTGAGTTAATCTTGTATCCTGCCACATTACTGAAGGAGTTTATGAGCTGTAGGAGTTCTCTGGTAGAATTTTTAGGGCCACTAATGTATATTATCATTTCGTCTGCAAATAGTGAAACTTTGACTTTTCCCTTTCCAATTTGTGTCCCCTTGATCTTCTTATGTTGTCTTATTGCTGTAGCTAGAACTTCAAGGACCATGTTGAATAAGTATGAGGAGAGTGGACAGCCTTGTCTTGTTCCTGATTTATTGGAATCACTTTGAGTTTCTCTCCATTTAACTTAATTTTTGTATGTTGAACCATTTTTGCATCCCTGGGATGAAGCCTACTTGGTCATGGTGGATAATTTTTTTTGATGTGTTCCTGGATTCAGTTAGCCAGTATTTTATTGAGTATTTTTCCATCAATGTTCATTAGGGAGATTGGTCTGTAATTCTCTTTCTTTGTTGCTTCCTTATTTATTTATTTATTTATTTATTTATTTATTTATTTATTTATTTTTACAAATGGCCATTGTTATTGGGGTGAGATGACAGTTATTATGGGTTTCATTTAAACTTCATATGTTTAGAATTTTTGTCACATACTCACTGGCCTTCTATAAATAACTCCTTCCTTTGGTCAGTTTCCACTTTTTAAATTGCATTATTATATTCCGTTGACTTGGAGTGAACACCATAAATAGGATACATATGAACATGCTGTCATATGTATACTTGTTAGCTCCCATTCTGCATGAACTTCCATGGTGGAGTTGCTCCTTTTCATTACAGAACCTTTTAAACCTCATATAATTGCAAATGTCTACTTTTGCTTTTGCTTCTGTACTTTCAGTGTTTGGAGAAAAAGAATATCCTTCATTCCAGCACTCTAACACTTCCTTTATGTTTTCTTACAATAATCTCACAGCTCCAGGTCTTACATTTAGGCCTACAATTCATTTAGAGTTGACTTTTGTAACTGGAGATATAGAGGCTGAATTATTTATTTTATATTGCTCTCATAGGATGCCTGCTATAAAATTTAATAGGAAGAAAAATTAATTTTGGCTCACAGTTTCAGAGACTTTAATCCATCATGGTGGGTAAGGTGTGACTACGAAAATTAGTTCACAAGATGGAGGCAAGCAAGCAGAATAAAGGAAATACAGGAAGAAATTATAGCAGGTACAGCTTCTAATGGCACATTCCTGGTTGACAATTTTCTCCAATTAGGCACCATTTCCTACTTTTTTTTTTAAATCATGTCCTTGTGACATTATATCCTGAGTCTATCCAGGTAACAATTCATTCACTGTGTCATGGACTTTATTTATGATCTAACTATCTCTAGAAATGTGCTCACAAACACTATCTATGCAGGAGTAGAAATAATCTGCACCTCCCATCTGTTGAGTCTATCAGGATATATAACACATATGCATAGAGGGATATAACTCAGACATAAAGCACAATGAGATACTGTCATTTCTAGCAACATGAATGGGCACAGAGCTGGCTATGTTAATTGAGAAAAGACAGGCACACTAAGATGGGTATTATATGACTTTATTCTTAGTTAAATTTAAAAAAGTTTATCTTGTTATCCTGGAAGTTGGAGGTTGAATAATTCCTAATATATGGATGGGGGGAGGCTGATCAATATATTCTAAGAAGACATAAACAAAAATTTCAGGTATGCTATTGCATATTAGGATGACCACAGGCTATATTTATGTTTTATTTGTCTCAAAAGCCAAGAAAGAAAGATTTTGTCAGTCTTCATCATAAAATGATAAATATTTTATATCATAATCTTGTTCAACTTGATATTAAGCCCCACACAATGTATATATAACTTAATGCACTTGTCAATTAAAAAAATAAAAACTATATTCTTAGAAGGAGACATTCTTTATAAAGCCCACTGTATATAACAATTTATTGTAGTCTGTGTCCCTTCTAGAGCTACCAAACTAATTTTCATCGCTATCAACTATAGCGTCTGTATTAAATGTGGCAGTGATTAATTTAAATATTAACATTCTATTTTTTCTCTGATAATTATGTTCTACCTAGTCACTGAGATTTTGGAATTAAATGTATCCCAACAACAAATAAACAGAGAATAGTAAGATAATTTCAGACAAGTAATCTAAGTAAACACAACAGGAAAATTATGTGTATCATGATCTAGTTTTGTAGATAAGAGGCCATTTAAGCAACACAGTGAGAGGAGATATTATAAATGGGGAAATGACTAGGAAGAATATCGTGTAGAGTACAGAGTTTAGCATTGTGTAAGTGTTGAATATTGAGCTGTCTGTGGACTCTTAGGCAGGAGCTTCCACTGAGGAGACACAGAGAACAGTACAGACCTGGAGGAAGATGAGCTTCCAGTAAAGATGCATATTTCAGCAAAATATCTGAGATGGTGAAAGAAGTGTTGGTACTGCACACTCTGAGGGACAACAGCTCCCTTTTCTGTTTTGTGAAAATAAGAATGTCTGGCAAAACAATAGGAAAACAATGTAGACTCCTGCCTTAGTTAGGGCTTCTATTGCTGCAAAGAGACATCATGTCCATAGCAACTCTTATAAAAAAAATGGGCCAATAGCCGGGCGTTGGTGGCGCACGCCTTTAATCCCAGCACTTGGGAGGCAGAGTCAGGCGGATCTCTGTGAGTTCGAGGCCAGCCTGGGCTACCAAGTGAGCTCCAGGAAAGGCGCAAAGCTACACAGAGAAACCCTGTCTCGAAAAACCAAAAAAAAAAAAAAAAATGGGCCAAATTTGAAACCCTGGCTCATATCATGTGACACTAAGAGATGGGAAAAATGGTTACTCCTATCTTTTTGAAGTGGAGAAACTGCAGAATCAGTAAGTTTTTGTATTACTAAGACTCAGCCGTTGACACTAAGTGATGAGAGAAGGTGTGGAAATTCAGTTCTTATCTAGTAAAATAGTGATATAAAATTATAAAATAAAAATCAAAAAATGAAAAAAAGACAAAAAGATGGATATGAACAGGAACAAAACCAAAAAATCAATTATATGCATATATTAGCAAAAAAATCAAACAGAAGGAAGGCAAAATGGAAAGTTAGCTTTGTGTTTGCCTCTAGCTCCTTTTCTGTTTTGTGAAAATAAGAATGTCTGGCAAAACAATATGAAAACAACGTAGACTCCTGCCTTAGTTAGGGTTTTTATTGCTGCAAAGAGACATCATGTCCATAGCTACTCTTATAAAGGAAAACATTTAATTGGGGCTGGCTTACAGTTTCAAAGGATTAGACCATTATCATCATGGCTGGATCTGGCAGTGTGCAGGCAGACATGGTGCTGGCGAAGGAGCTGAGAGTTCTATGTCTTGATCCACAGGCAGCAGAAGGAGAAAGTGCTGTACTGGACATAGCTTGAACATATATGAGACCTCAAAGCCTGCCCCCAATAGGGTCACACTTCCTCCAACAAAACCAAGCCATACCTCCTCCAAAAAGGCCATACCTCCTAATAGTGCCACTCCCTATGGGCCAAGCATTCAAACACATGAGTCTATAGGGGTCATTCCTTTTCAAACCACCACAACATCAAAGGAAATAATGGATACAGGAAATTAAGGAATAAGATAATGCCAAAATTTGTGAACAAAGAACAAAAAATGCAAGGCAGCATAGGAAGTGGAGGTATTCAAATATCACTGATATTGAGTTGAATTACAAGTATTATTTAAAAAGGATAGAGAGATCAAAGCAGAAATCTGGACAAATGGTACAATCCTGGAATAACTTCATTATCATAAGGAACAAGTATCCAACATAGTAGTATATCTATTATATATTTTTCTCACTGATTCTTTTTTCATTTTTCTTTATTAAGAAATATTCTACTCACTCTATATATCACCCACAGATCCCACCTCCTCCCTCCTCCCACCCCCAGCCCTCCCTTCCAAGCCACCCACATCCCCACATCCCTCAAATCAAAGTCTCCCATGAGGAGTCAACAGAGCCCAGCACACTGAGCCTAGGCAGTTCCAAGCCCCTCCCCACTGCACCAAGGCTGTGCAAGGCATCATACTGCAGGCAGCAGGCTCCCTCTATTATATTTTTTCCAGGACCACCAGGGCAAGACAATGAGAAAGATTATTCTGGTCCCCAAGACCCACTCCCCATGTCAAACTACTTGGTTTAACTTCTTAATGTAGTGGATAATTAGTATGACCTATGAACATGGTGGGCTTCCATGGTGGGGAAATCCTACAAAATATTCCAATGTCCACATTAATATGTTTATGGGATGAAATTGTGTTAAATTTCCAAGTTTTACCATCATAGGTTTAGTTGAATTTTCTTTTTGCAAAAGATTCTTTCCAGAGCCTCCTTTATGTCTCTATTTCTAAGGCTGTAGATGAAGGGATTCAGCATGGGGGTCACCACTGTGTACATCAAAGACATGACAGTATCCTTCACAGTAGAGTTATTAGCAGAAGGACATAAATAGAGACCAATGACTGGCCCATAGAACAGTGACACTACAGTCAGGTGGGAGCCACAGGTAGAAAAGGCTTTACGGATACCTCGAGAAGAAGGGACCTTGAGAATGGAGGAGACAATTCGTACATAGGACATGATAATGAGTGCAAATGGAAGGATAAGGAAGATGCTGACCACAATAAATATCACCACCTCATTAACATAGGTGTCAGAGCAGGACAGCTTTAGCAGAGCGGACATGTCACAGAAATAGTGGGGGATCACGTTGTCCTTACAGAAAGACAATCTGGCCATGAGCAGGGTGTGCAGCATGGCATGGAATGTGGTCAGCACCCAGGACAGCAACACCAGACTCACACAGAGTTTAGGACTCATGATACTGTTGTAGTGAAGGGGGAAGCAGATGGCCACATAGCGGTCATAGGCCATGGCCACAAGGAGGAAGTTCCCAAGGTCTCCAAAAAACAGAAAGAAGTATATTTGTGCCAGGCAGCCTGCATAAGGGATGGATGGGTCCTGGCTCTGCATGTTCTGCAGCAATTTGGGCATTGTGACAGAGGAGAAGCAGAGGTCAGAGAAGGACAAGTTGCTGAGAAACAAGTACATGGGTGTGTGCAGATGGGAGTCCCGTAGAATGAGGATGATGATGATGAGGTTTCCCAGGACAGTGATGAGGTACATGGCCAGGAACAGGGTATAGAACAAGTGCTGGTTCTCTGGGGGGATGGGCAGGCCCAGGAGGAGGAACTGGGAGATGACAGTTTGATTCCCGTCTGTCATACTGCCTCAGGTTCCTTTAAGAGAAATCATGACAACAGCTTTGAAAATAAATATGATCATGTCTTCTTGTTAACCACCTGTTATGTGTTTGCTAATATGAATTTCCCAACCACAATAACTGCATATACATTCCCATGTTTGTTATCTCTATAATGCTGAAGATTGAATATTTAGTTCTTTCTATCATATTTTAGTGTTCATTACTTCCTAAACATTTTATGAATTTGATTCTGAGACACACAGTTCACTGGTTTTTGTCTTATCTGCCTGATTTGTCAACATTATTCTGTGAATATTAAACAATCGTAGTTGGCTCGTTTTCTATTACTATCTGCCATGGCCATGGTCCTGAAAGATTTTTTTTTTGAGCCAAATCCTCTCGTAATTCTATGTACTTTGCATTATCAATGAAAGTGGTCTCTTTTTACCTATAGATTCTGTATTGCATTGCTAACTAATTATCTTCTCTGGGGTATACCATAGGAATCTCTAGTTCAACATATTCCAAATATGTTGAGGCCCATGCAAGGGGAACAACAAACAGCCTTGGAACTCAAGGAACATGGCTGGTGGTCAGCAAAAATCATGCTCAGTGAGCCTTGGAGAGGTGGAGTCCCAAGGACTCTATGTCCTGAGGACCACATGCTGTTATTGAGCACAGCTCTGCTTACTGCCCTAATGGTCACCACGTCCCTCATCATGTGTGGGTTGTACAAAAACTCTCAGGGGGTTCTAGCCCCTCACTGGACAGTGTTACTGGTACTTACAATAACAGTGACTGACATTTTCCAAGCATTGCTGCTGGAGCGGATTAATGATTCAACCACCACACTTAGAAAGAATTGAGAGACAGGTATTGTTAGTTAAATTAGGTTAAGATGTTTTTGTTAATAGCTTTGAGGTAGAAAATCTTGGAAAACAATTTAAAGTTTAGAAAGGCACACTTTTAATTGTTGAGTGAGGGACTTGTTGAGGTCATGGAACAGGACAATAGTACCCTGGCTCTTGCTGGCTAACTTACTTTTCTTGCCAGGACGGGTTGGTGATCAAAGGTAATGATTAATTCCTTGTACCCATTTCTCTTCAGCCTCCTGATACTATTTAATAAAAAACTGTTGATGAGTGGGTATGCACCCTGAGGATTTAAAATAGAGATGACTGGTTGTTTTTCATATATAAAAGTGTACATTTATGATTCTTTTATGATTTTTAAAATGAGATTACCCTTTGAGATAAATAATAAAATTATAGGTACATTCTTTGTAATCACAAAATGTAGCCAGACAGTAAAGGAACTGGATGAGAAAAAAAACCTTGCTTGCTTACACCTTGTTAATCTATAACAAGTTGCTTGGACATGAATGTATGTGGGTTCTTGGGGATAATTTGTTTTTCACCTGCAATACATAAAATGTTTAATCATGTAAGAGAAATAAGAAACATGATGATTTTTACTTGTTCTCATTGTAATCATTCACTTGAAATATAGAATGTAACAACATTGTAATTTTAATATTGGTTGGAAGAATTTGTTGAGGTATATAAAGTGTAAGGGAAACAATAAAGAAGTTAGAAAGAACTCAACAGGGAAGAGGAGGAAGGGAAACATCAGGCTAGAAGAACAGAACAGAAAAAGAACAGAGTATAACAAGCATCAGAAAGAGGAATAAAATGAAGGAGGTTTTATTCCTCAGAAAAGAAGTCTGTGTGTTTTTCTCGCTGTCTCTGCATCTCGTTCTCAGTCTCTCTGACATGCAGAAGGCTGGACCCTCTGCACAAATGCATCTTAATGATGTCACTCAGCTCTCTCTGGACCTCCCACTCTCCTGCTTTTCTATCTCAGTAAGAGGAATTCCAAATTGTATCACAAGACTCAGTTTTAGGGGATTCATTTATTTATTTTACCTTCAATGTAGGATGTCTGATAGGTTCTCCTCCATGTTCACCCGTTGCTCCTATTACTGGGAGACCATATTCCCAGAGCAGTGTGACATCTTCTGTCTCCTGGAACATCAAAGCAGATGTTTCCTTTGTGTCAATAACCATGCTTTCAAACCCTCTTTACATATGTTTCATCCATACAGTAGCATCCTGAGATGGCAATCTTATTGTGTTTTTCTGATTATTGCTTCATGGGGATTATCATTGCTCTTTAGAAAAAGACATAATCTTTATCATACACTTAGCCTCAAATTTTATCCTATTCTGCAGTAAAGCCTTTGGTGGGAGTTATAGCATCTTGTCTCCAGTTTTCAAAACTTGCTATTCCTTATTACTATCATTCATTGTTATCTGCGATTCTTCATTTGGCATATTCTTCATGCATGTTAGAAGATAGTTACTTAATCAAACCTTGTGTACCTGATGAGACTGGGAGAGCCCTGGTACCATGTTTCCAAACAGCCCATACTCTCCCCAGTGCATCAGATTCCTCCAATCAATGGGTATAGCTGATTTCACACCAGATTGATTGCAAACTCCATGCAGAAAAGACTCTATCTGCCTTACAGCAGGGCAAATACCTGGCATGAAGCTTGGTTGAAACCAGTGTTTCCTGAATATATGTTGGCTGTGCTTCAGCCTGAGACTAATTCATTTAATGTTAAAGGCATACAATTTTCATTTCAATTTAAATATTATTTCAAAAAACTTTTCATGATACAAGCTTGCTACATAACAATTTAGCATGAAAATGTGACATTCTGTGATGAATTTCAGGCAGAAAATTTTGTGTTTCAAAAATATGTGGGTAGGTCAGGTATACTATTTTTTCTCTAATATTGGTGACTAATAATGATAAATTTTTTATGCTTCTGTTCTGAGATTATCATGGAAGTTGATGTAGAAAAATGAACATGATATTTATTACTATATATACTGAAAATATAAAAAGAAGAATGTCCTTGTTTTAAAATCTCTGGGGCTTTCCTCCCTCATTTATCCAATTATGTCTGGCTCATAGACACATCAGCTTTGCTTCTGATACTAGGTTTTGAGAAACATCAGTTTTAAGGTTTCTTTGAAGTTTTATTTCAACCTTGTCAATATTTTAGTCAGCACATTTGAATAAAAAAGATTACCATTCATACTGTAATGAGACTCATACAATAAAGTGAAGGAAATCAGAAGAAAGTGTACTCTCCTGAAGAATTTTGCCTCCAGACTGCTTTGGGCTTACAACTTCTATCTCTAATATTTCAGGAACTCCACTCTGCTGACTGTCCCTGCAGATACTGAATTTATACAATTAAGAATAGTCTCCTGCTATATTTCTTCTGGACAACCTTCTCTAATAATACTCAACCTGTCTCAAGTCTGGCAAAGAAAGCAGAGGAAGATTCTTGAGCATTGTGAGAGGGCTGGGAATGCCGCTCAGTGGTACAACTCTTGCCTAGCATATGTCTAAGGTACTGTATTTTATGCCTAGCATCAAACAATCAAAGAAAGAAAAACATCCTCTAAAATGAAAGTGAGTGTGGAAAGAGAGAGAGAGAGATGGGCATAAAGAGAGAGACAGAGATAGAGACAGAGACAGAGACAGACAGGTAGAGGCTGTATGAGTCAAAATCAAATGCTGGGATCTTCATCCTGTTGGTGATGTTTATGGCACTCACTGTGTGCATATTTGAGTATTACAAAGGGAAGAGACATATAGGAAAAATCACACTGGTTCTGAAATTTTGCTTGTTCTGTGAATGATTGGGTCCTGTGTCTTAAGTAGGAGCATGTGGAGTAATCAGAACCCAGAGACCTTACCTGGAGTTGTTGCCACTGATGACCTAATGACTGTATCTTCTTCAGCTGTCAAGGATACAATTTTAGATCTGGACAGCATATGAAAGGTTTAATGAAAGTGTTTGTAGCATTGAATATGCAAGTAACTCTTCAAATAATAGTATAGACATGGGAGGAATAGCCTTAGAGATTCTGAAACAAGTAAATGCTTCTTTTTATATTTACAATAATGTATAGAACAAATTAACCATCACATCTATTTTCCCATATCAACTTCAATCACATTCACTGAACAGAAGCATGAGGAAATTATTTTTAGTCACCAATATTACAGAAAACTGTACATCTGATCCACTCACATATTTTTCCTAAGTTCTAATTTCCAGTCTAAAATCGATCACAGACACTGATTTTGCCTCTGAAGTTCTGATTCTACATGAGAAATGAGCACACAGGTGAGGTCAACAGTACTGCCAGTTGATTGTATTTAGGAACAATTACAGCCATCACTATTAAACATATAGGTTTTTGAGCTCAGTCAGATAAGTTTAATTACTTGTTCATGGTTTGTTAAAAGCTCCATAGGTGAAGGTATGTTAAAGATTTAAGAACCACTGAGGTGTGTTAAAACCAATGTAAGAACCAGCAGACTGGGCATAGCAGTTCATAACTAATCACAGCGCTTGAGAGGCTGAGGCCATAAGATCACCTTGAGTTCAAAGCACGCTTAGACAACAAAGTGAGTCCCTTTCTCAAAAACTCAAACAAACAGTTGTGCTGCAAGGGTATGACCTTTGAGAACTTTACATAAGATATAATTGTAAAGAAGTCCTTCATTACTAAAGAGATTATAAATGGTGTCCAGGAAACAAAATATTTCAACAACAGCAAATTCTTCAGGGGGAAGAGATAACAAATAATTTTAGCATACCTGACAACTTGTGTTGCAGAATGTCACACAATGGATACCCACAGGCTAAATGAACTGTAAAGAAGAGTTTAGCCTTACCTAGAGTGCACAAGATGATGCCCACGCTCTGGTAGAAGATACTGCTCTTTATTCACCATTGACACAGGTTGTAACAAGTCCCATAGTCATCCCCTAAGTCCACACCTCTGCTTCTCTCTTATCTCCTTCTAGTCATCCCTGAGCCTTAGAGCCTCTGCATCCCAGAGGAGTCCAGTAACTCACTAAAGATTTTAATTACCCAGGACCTCTCTAGGACCTGTTTTCTCAGAGTTCTACAGTAGTGACTGATTATCACTGCCAATCACACATTACTATACTTAAGGGATTGTGGACTTAGAGAGGAACTCATGAATGGATGCTTATTTGTTTACATGTTCATGTAAAGCCTATTCCTTGTGGAGTGGGAGGGGAGCCTGAGGAAGAGAGTTTGCAAAATCCCTAGAAATAAGCAGAGACTACACTGATGGATAGAAAACACATTAGAGGTCATAATTTACTAAAGAAGCCACAGTGGCTTTTGAAGAGACAGTTTGGAAACATTCCCAGGTAGCGAGCAGCCTGTTAGTATAAGTTGGCCTCTTGTAAAGCAAGCTTATGTGAGAAATAGTCATGTTGCTAGGATGGCTCAGACTTCTGTGACAAGCTTCCTTTATCTGCCAGTATGTTAAAGTCAGAAATAAGACAAAAGATAAAGTGGCCCAGACCATGTTTAATTCTTACTTTAATTAAGATATAAAAGAAAAACCTAGATTCCCACCCCATTTGGTTACTCACTTTTCATCCTCACTTCTTCAGAAAAATGTTGATGACATTGCATCACCATTCTCCCAGCCATTCACTGTAGGCTTCACTTTATGTCCTAATGCCATGGCTTATTCCCTGTCAATTCTCCTAAAGCCATAGATAACTTGCAGTTTCTCACTTCTGGACCAGCTCCATGTACATGGCAATGACCAGTTAGGCAATGTACATCTGTACATCGCAGACATTCATTGAGGGAATATGAATTTTTTCTCACTGGTCTTGTATTTATTGGTTGTGAGAGGTTAGAGCAATGTCTATTTTTGGACATGCAAAACTAATTTTGTATAAAGAATTCCACAGAACTTAAATTATCCCAACAGTAATCTACATTTACAAGAACTTAAGACTCTACTTAACATCTCTTAGATTTTGCAAATACTTCCCACAAAGTAGAAGAATGAAAATAATCAAGATACAAAAACCAATAGCTGTCCTGTATACCAATAATAAATTTCTGGAGCAGAAAATCAGGAAACAAAATCTCATTTATAACAGCTTTAGAAATTACCTAGGTGGGGAAAGATCCCAAAAATGACAAATTTGAAACAGTGGAGAAAGTAAGCTGAGGTAACCAACATCTAATTGGACTTAAGTTCTGCTCAAAGGAAGGAACTCATTCCTGATAGTCTAAAACTTAGCTATCTACCCATGGCTGGTGAGGTCATGGATCTTATAGGAGACCTACGGCTCTTCTTTACTAAACTAGTGTAATTTCTAACTGCATCAACATACATATTCTTATATCCACAGGTAAGTGTAGTTTGGGAGCCTCACCAAGGAATCTTCAAAAAAAGTAGCAGAGAGAGACTATTATAGAAATCCATAACTGGTCAAAAAGCTGAGAACAACTGACTATGGCACACCCACACCCTATAGATACATCTACATCCCAACTCCTACTCCTCAGATTTAGGGAACATTATGGAAGAGTTAGAGGACCAAGACATCTGCCACAAAATAGTGTTTTCCACGTATGACAGAGGTACTGCACCTATGAAATCTCAACAGTGGGGCTGCCTAAATAAGGTCAGCCAAATGACAGCACCAGCTGACATGCTAATGTGAATGGGGGACTATCATAAGGTTCTACCCTTAGGGAAAGCTACAGGCAACCAATGGCTGCTGAGAGGGAGGATCATTCTTTGCCAGGGATGAGCCCCTGATATGTTGGTTAGCCAGTTCACAGTTGTCAGTGCCCCCCCACCCTCCCATACATGTATGAGCAACTCTAAATGGACTCAGAAGACTGTATGGATGTGTATATATGCATATATATGTATACTTATCACAATAATAAAGAAGAGATCATGAATTTGGGGAAAGTGGGAGGACTTATACAGGGAGAAGAAAGGCTAGAAATGATGTAAATATAATATTAATGTATGAAAATGTCACAAAATATTTTAATTAAAATAATAAAACTAAATCTTTTACAAAGCAAAGTAAAAAAGTGAAGTAAGCAAGACTTAGGAAGATAAATATTGCATGTTTTCTCTTAAATTTAAAATTTTTATTATATTATTTTTTACTATGCATAAGTGCCTGTGTGTGGATGTCCTCCAAGATCAGAGGCATCATATGTCCCTAGAGATGGAGTTACAGGATTTTTGAGCAACTTTTATGTGGATGCTTGACCAAATCAGGACATCTGCAAAAGAGTACATGGTTTGTGCAGCTGAACCATCTTTCCAGCCCTGATCTTATCTATCTATCTGCCTCTCTCTCTCTCTCTCTCTCTCTCTCTCTCTCTCTCTCTCTCTCTCTCTCTCTCCCTATCTATTTGAACCTAAACTTTGAAATTTAATAGGAAAGTAAGTAAAACAAAGTGTAAATAAGCACAGGCCAGGACTTTCTGGAAAGGATTCCCATAACAAGAAATACTAAGAAAGAGGTTATAAGAAATTCAAAAGTTTCTTCACAACCTTCAGGTTCAAGATATAGTCTACAGAATGGGAAAATATTTTCAACTACGAATAAGAATATGTTGAATATCTAGGATATAGAACCTGGGGCTTATGCAGTGATACTTTGCTCAGCCTAGAAGGAGGGCACTGGACCTGCCTGGACTGAATCTACCAGGTTGGACTGAATCCCCAGGGGAATCTTTGCCCTGGAGGAGATAGGAATGGGGGGTTAGGCTAGGGGGAAGTTGGGTGGGATGGGGAAGGACAGGGGAATCTGTGGATGATATGTAAAATTAAATTAAATTATAAAAAACTGAAAGTAACCGAGCATCACAAACATCAAACAATCTAATCAATGACTGGTCAATGAATAGATACACCATTCTCAACAGAAGAAACACAAAATAGAGAACAAGCAGCAGAAAAAGATGTTTCTCTGAGTCTGGGCCACTTCACTCAGAATGGTTGTTTCAAACTCTGTGCATTTGTCTACAAGTTACATGATTTCATTTTTCATTCTTATTTAACTTTCTTTTTATTTATTCTTTGTGTCTTTCACATCATGCATCTCTATCCCATTCAATTCCCATCCCTGCATATCTGCTCTCTACACTTGCAGCCCATCCTCCCAAAAAATTTATAAGATAAGGAAAAAGAAAAAAAAAAGGGAAAAAATCTCATCATGGAAGCTGTAGTACGACACAGTAAGTCACACAGTAAACCCTTTAGTCCACATATCTTTACTTGTAAACTTCCATTGCAAAGAGTCACTGGTCTGGTCCAAGGTCTCTGGTGTCTGCTACATTATCAATACTGGGTCCTCACTGGGACTCCTCTCGTTATCCTGCTGTTGCCCTGTGTCATGGAGATCCTGCAGCTTTAGGTCTGCAGGAACTGCCCCTCATGGGCTCCAGCAGATCACTGATGGGGTGAATGTTGGGGTGGACCAACACACAAACCTGGATCTTGGCCTGGGTAGTTGCCTTGTTGGTCGCCCTCCATCTCTCACTTGTCCTCCCCACCAAGGTGAGGTCTCCCACATTGTCTTGGTGAGTTCACCCTTTGCAGTGATGAGCAAGGGGCAGGGGCAGTTCTCCTGTGTCCTCATGTCCTCACGGTCGGATCTTCCACACCTACACCTTCAGGGCCAGCTCTCCCACCTGCCTCAGGCATTGAGGGTTCGGGGCATCCCTCCCCTACCCATGCTGCCACATGACAGATGAGTGATGGAGATAGCTCTCCCATGCTAACAAGATTTCATTTTTTTCTTAAGAGCTGAATGATATTCCATTATGTAAATGTACACATTTTCATTATTCACTTATTAGTTGATAGACATCTAGCCCAGTGGTTCTCAACCTGTGGCTTGAGGGGTTGCATATCAATATCCTGCATATCAGATATTTACATTATGATTCATAATAATAGCAAAATTACAGTTATGAAGTAATAACAAAAATAATTTTATGGTTGAGATTGTGACAACATGAGGAACTGTATTAAAGTGTCGTGGCATTAGGAAGGTTGAGAAGCATTGATCTGGGATGTTTCTACTTCCTGGCCATTGTGTATAGAGCAACAATGAACATGAATGAACAGGTATCTCTGTGGTAGGATATAGAGACCATTGAGAATATTCCCAGGAAGTATACAAATGGGTAATATCTATTATTTCATTGTTTTATTAATACTAAGTTATTTTATTTTTACATTTGTAATTAAATATAATCACACCACTACTCCTTTCCTCCCTCTAATCTATCCCATATCAGCTCTCTCAACGCAATAGCCTTTTCCTCTTTTATTATTGTTACATATCTATCTATCTATCTATCTATCTATCTATCTATCTATCTATCTATCTATCTATCTATCATGTAAAATTAAATAAATACAACCTGCTGAGCTCATATTTGTTGTTTGTGTGGATATGATTTCAGGGCTCACCACTTTGCATTGGAAAACTAATCAGGGCTCCGACCAGGGAGAACATAATTCTTTCTCTCTCAGCAGTTAATAGCTGCCTGTAGATCTTTATCTATGGGTAGGACCCTGTGAGATTTCCCCCCGTCCTGTATTAACATGTCTACTGATAATGTCATTGTGCAGGCCTCATTTAAGTAGACATTTCTAAGAAAGGCATTCACAAAGCAGACTTCCTGGTGTTCTTTTTTTGAATTTTTAAATTTATTTTACATACCAACCACAGATCACCCTCTCTTCTCTCCTCCTGTTCCCCAAGCGTTCCCGCAAACCATCCCTCATTCCCTCCTCCAACAAGGTAAGGCCTCCTGTGGGAGTCAGAAGAGTCTGGTACATTCAGTTGAGATAGGTCCAAGTCCCTCTCTCCAGCATCAAGGCTGTGCAGGGTGTCTCACCATAGATGGTGGGCTCAAAAAAGCCAACTTATGCACCAGGGATGGATCCTGATCCTACTGCCAGGGGGTCCCTTAAGCATATCAAGCTACACAACTGTCTTACTTATGCAGAGGGCCTAGTCCAGTCCCGTGGAGGCTCCACAGCTGTTGGCCTAAAGTTCATGAGTTCTCACTAGCTTGGTTTGGTCGTCTCTGCAGGTTTCCCCATCATGATCTTGATGCCCCTTGCTCATAGAATCCCTCTTTCACTCTTCAACTGGAGTCCTGGAGCTTGGCCTGGTGTTTGGCTGTGGATCTCTGCATCTGCTTCCATCAGTTACTGGATGAAGGCTCTTTGATGACAGCTAGAGTATTCACCAACATGATTACTGGGGTAAGCCAGTTGAGGCACCCTCTCCACTATTGTTAGTAGTCTAAGCTGGTGTCATCCTGGTGCATTCCTGGGAACTTCCCTATGTAGATGAATTTTTAAGCAGTCTTATTAAATAAGAAACACAGAGCCAAATACAGGGGTAAAAAGTGTAGCGATCAGAGTAATAGGAATATCCACCAGGTAACCTTAGCTCACCATGCCGCCATAGCTTCCCCAGAGACCCAGCCTCTTCCCTGTCTAACCTGCACCTTTATTGCCTTGCTGTTCTGCCTTCTCACTTCCTCATCACTGCCTGTCTGTACAGACCTCCAGGTCTCTATTGCTGGTACTGGGATTAAAGCCATGTGTCACCACAAAAGGCTGTGTCCTTGAACACACAGATACTCAGCCTGCCATGTGATTGGATTAAGGGTATGTGCTACCAACACCTGACTTTTGTTTATGGCTGGCTATGTCCTCTGATCTGCAGGGAAACTTTATTTATCTTACATACAAGTAAAATATTACCACATTTCAACACAAATAAAATATCACCACATCCCTAGCATCAGGTTTCTCCCTATCCTCATAATGTCTCTCTCTATCATGGTATCTTTTTCTTTGCTCTCCCATTCTGTCCCTGTTCCAGTTCAACCATCTTGTTCCTTTATGTCCTCATCCCCCTTTCCCTACTCTATATTCCCCCATCCTAAGTTTACTCATGGATATATAATCTATTTTCCCTTCCCAGGGTGATCCATGTGCCCCTCTTAGGGTCCTCATTGTTAGCTAGCTTCTCTAGAGATTTGAGTTGTAGTCTGGTTATATTTTGCTTTACATCTAGTATCCACTTATGAGTGAGTACATACCATGTTTGTCTTTCTGAGTCTGAGTTACCTCTCTCAGGATGATATTTCTAATTCTCTCCATTGCCTGCAAATTTCATGATGTCGTTGGTTTTTTTAAACTGATGATTAGTACTCTATTGTGTATATACACCACATTTTCTTTATCCATTCTTTAGTTGAGGGGCATCTAGGTTGTTTCCAGGTTCTGGCTATTATGAATAATGCTGATATGAACATAGTTGAGCATGTGTCTTTGTGGTATGATTGAGCATTCATTGGGTATATGTCCAAGAGTGGTATAGCTGGGTCCTGAAAAAGACTGATTCTCAATTTTCTGAGAAACCACTATACTGATTTCTAAAGTGGCTGTACAATTTTGCACTCCCACCAACAGTAGGAGTGTTCCCCTTGCTCCACATCCTCTTCAACATAAGCTGTCATCTGTTTTTCATCTTAGCCATTCTGACAGGTGTAAGATGGTATCTCAGAATCATTTTTATTTGCATTTCTCTGATGACTAAGGATGTTGAGCAATTTGTTTAATGTATTTTGGCCATTTGAGATCTTCTACTAAGAATTCTCTCTTTAGATGTATAATATATTTTTAGTTGCCTTCCTGGAATTCTGACTCTCACAATCTTCCCACTCCTGTGATGCTCCCTGAGCATGGGATGCAGTAGCTATGCTGCCAATGTATCCATTGAATCAGGGTTCCCCTCAATACATTGATATTTGCATTGTGTGCAGTTGTGACTTATTTTTTAGAAAATTTTAGATAATTTCAGATATGTACACAACTCTCATCCCCCACTTCCCTAAGCTCCCTGACATATTCCTCCTCCCCACAAATCTCTTTTTACATTTATGACTATTCATTTTGTTTTGTGACCTATCGAGTTTAATTAGTACACTCCATGTAATTGTGGGCTTGGGGATATCTGTTGTCGCCTGGTGGCTCCAATTTTTATTTTATATTTGAGGATTTCATAAGCTTCTAGACATAACTGGGAATAGTCAACAAAGAGACAACCTTCAGAATAGGAGAAAACATTATATGATAAGATTTGCTATACAAACTATATAAGGAACTCTTAGAACTCCATAAAATCCATTAACTGTCCAGAAGCTTTTTAATTTGATGTAATCCAATTTGCCTCTTTTTGATATTGTTTTTTGTGCTCTTTTTTTTTCTGTCTGTGTTCACCCCTAAATCTTGAAACTTTTCTTTGAGGTTTCCTTCTAATAATGGTCTCATATTTCCATGTCTTATGTCTAGGACATCATTTCTTGGGCTTGAGAATTTTTTAAAAAATTATTACTATATTTTGTTTTTATTATTTAAAACAATTTTAAAAGTTAAATATATTTGAATCATATTCTCATCCTCTAGATCCTCTTCCCTTCCCTTCTTACCCAATTTTAGGATCTTTCTAAAAAACAAACCAATACAACAACAAATCCCTCCAAACCCAAGAAAACAATATAATTATGCCCCCAAAGGAAGATAAAAGTAAACAAAACAAAGCAACAAACTGTAACCAAATATTTTTATCTGATTTTGAGAAAATACATTAAGGTGTACCTGATTAGTATACTGATTAATATCCTGATTAATACCAGGTATAGAAAAAAAGTACAATAATGAGAGCAATATGCTAAAGGCTTACAAAAGCCTGTTAAGAGTCAAGACAGGTCAGAAAACCAATTAGACAATTACATAAAAATAGTGTCTAGGGACTTAAGTGATGTAATTATCTCATGACAGGCTGTAGAAAGAACATGTGAAAGACTGGAACAGGGCTGCCTGAGGTAAAATACCTGAATATTATTAATTATTGATCTATGATCATTGACTACATATTTAGAATCACACAGTCACAGCATTCCTTTGGACAAAATGCAAAAATCCTGGAATATCCATGGGAATCAGATGTGACTTTAGTCTACACTGTATTTTCCAGGACCATATGGGCAATACAATGAGTGCATAATCGGATCTCCTAAACTTATTTCCCAAATTCAACTACTTTTATAAACTCCCTGTAATTTGTGTAGTGAAAGTTATGTTGTGAGATCTCTAAACAGAAGCATCCACAATGAGATAAAATTCTGTAGCAACATCTAATGTTAATATTAATATTTTCTAGAGAAATTATATAAAAATCTGAAGAGTTACCATCACAGAAATGAGAGAATTTGCTTTTTGCATACTCTTTCTAATGCTCCCTTCACGTCTCTGTTTCTCAGGCTGTAGATGAAGGGGTTCAGCATGGGAGTCACCACTGTGTACATCAAAGACATGACAGTCCCCTTCACAGTAGAGTTATTAGCTGAAGGACATAAGTAGAGACCAATGATTGGCCCATAAAATAGTGACACTACAGACAGGTGGGAGCCACAGGTAGAAAAGGCTTTACGGATACCTTGAGAAGAAGGGACCTTGAAGATGAAGGAAACAACTTTTGCATAGGAAACAATGATGAGAAGGAAAGGGAGTACAACTATCGGGCCTCCCAAGATAAATATTGCCAATTCATTGTCATGAGTGTTAGAACAAGCCAGTTTCAGCAGAGTAGACACATCACAGAAATAGTGGGGTATCACGTTGTCCTCACAGAAAGAAACTCTGGCCATGAGCAGGGTGTGCAGCATGGCATGGAATGTGGTCAGCACCCAGGACAGCAACACCAGACTCACACAGAGCTTAACACTCATGATACTGTTGTAATGAAGGGGGAAGCAGATGGCCACATAGCGGTCATAGGCCATGACCACAAGGAGGAAACTCTCCATGACTCCAAAAAACAGAAAGAAGTATATTTGTGCCAAGCAGCCTGCATAGGGGATGGAGGGGACTTGGCTCTGCATGTTCTGCAGCAATCTGGGCATTGTGACAGAGGAGAAGCAGAGGTCAGAGAAGGACAAGTTGCTGAGAAACAAGTACATGGGTGTGTGGAGATGGGAGTCCAGTAGAATGAGGATGATGATGATGAGGTTCCCCAGGACAGTGGTGAGGTACATTGCCAGGAACAGGGCATAGAACAGGTGCTGGTGCTCTGTTGGGATGGGTAGGCCCAGGAGGAGGAACTGGGAGACAACAGTTTGGTTCCATCTAGTCATTCGTTTACTCCAATGCCTTTCAGAAAAAAAAAATGTTAAGTGGCACTTAACATTCCAAATGAAGGTGAAAATATTTCAAATTCATTGGATAATGAACAGAAGATGTAACATATTTACATGCTCTACAAAACATTATCACAATAAGTATACTGTTTAGATCAACATGTCTATATTAATATTTTTTAAGGACTTATTAAATCTGTTCAACATATTTCACCAACTAGTCTTTTTGTAGAAAGTTTTTTTTAATTTGATTTGCATTAAATCTACTTGTTTCTCTTGAGCTTACCTGGTTAGTCATCCTAGACAAATTTGATTGCCTCATTCTTCATCATTCTCTCACAGTGTGAGATGATGTTTTCCATTATCTATCTATCTGTCTATCTATCTATCTATCTATCTATCTATCTATCTATCTATCTACCTTAATATTTATCATCTGTCTGACTCTCTTCCAGTCTATCTGTCCATCTGTTTATCTATCTCTCCAAGAAAAATTTTATATACACTAAAGTTATATTGCCACTTAAAATTCAGCTGTATGTGTTTTTCCTAACTACAGAATTTACATGCCGTCATTAACTAATTATCTTCCTTTGGGTGTATCAAGGATGTTGTGTCACAAAAGATTCACAAAGAAACTGATGACCCTACTCTTGTAGTGCCTTCCTTTACTGTCTCTTATGTTAGTAAAAGTAATTCAGAATCAAAAAGGATATATTTTATTGCATCCACTTATTTCTTTCACTTTAATCTAGGGCATTCTAATTTTCTTCTTCATTGTATTTCTACTCCCAGCATTCCTCACCATGAGACCATATTCCTAGAACAAAGTGCATCTCTAGGAATATCATATTAGATTCTTATTTCATGCCACCATTTCCTGCCTCAGTGCCTCATGTCAACACGCTTCAGTTATATCTTTGCAATCTAAGATAGCAATCTTATTTTCTCTTTTCTAATAAATGTTTCAAGGGATTATCATTGCTTTTAAGATAAAGGCACATTCTTTTTGATTGCACAAATGATACATTATTGCTGGACCTGTGCATATCCTTTAGGCCACATAAGGGCTCACAGTGACTCTTGCATTCCACTTCTCTGTGGATAACAACTGAAGCCATAATTTCCAGTCTCCATTCTTCAACTTTTTTCCTTGTAACTATTAACTTCTTCCCTTAGATCATGCTTTATCTGACTTATTCCTACTTATTCTTCATGTATAGTAGCTACTGCTTGCTTAGAAAATCTTTGCCTACCTGCTTGGTAAGACCTACTGCCATGCTCACATAGCATTCTGAACTCAACCTTCAGCTCCCTGGTTCTCCTGATCACTGGTTTAGAGCAGACTTCCCACCAGAATTCAAATTACATGCAAGAAAAATCATGTCTGCTTTTATCTCGTAACAGGGCTAACACTTGGTATAGTACCTGGATATTACCAATGTTTCCTCAATATTTCTTGGCTATAATGCAGACTGAGGTATGTAAATTGAAATTCTTCACCTTTAAAAATAGAAAATTCCCATTAAAATGGGAATACATACATTTATTTAAACTTTGCATAATGCAAACTAACTAGCTTAACCACTCAAAACCTTGGCACAATGTGATCAAATTCAGAAAGGTAATTTGGTATTTACTAAACACTGAGGGTATGAGGGTATGACTGTTTTCAGCAATTCTGGTGACTCAAAATGCCACAGAGAATGTCTCTAATATTGATGTAGGAAAATCAATATGATGGTCATTTTATAAATATTGAAGATACAAAAAGAAGCACAATGTATGTACAGACATGCAAAATTTATCATGAGTACTCCCTAACATAAACATAACATCAAATGATGGATCCTTCCTTAGTCACTGATAACAAGATTTAACAAATGCCAGTTCTTAATCCTGTTAGGAAGATATTCTCAAAATTATTAATGTTGAAGTCAGTAGACCTAGCAAATCACCCTTCACAACATGACAAGCCTCATGGAGCAAGTTGAAGAATATACAAGAAAATGTGCTGTCTTCTGAAGAAAAATTCTCTCTTCAGACTGCTCTGGACTCAAGCCAGCAGTCTCTACTCTTCCTAGAGTCTCTTGAGGCTGGCTTTGTAGATATTAGACCTCCAGTTGCCAATATTGTCTAAGCTGTAAGCTGTATCCTTAAAACAAATGGCTCTTTCTGTTCTGTTTTCCTGTTTTCTTCTAGACAGTCTTGACTAATGATCACCCCAGCATGCTATAAGATGGCAAAGAAAGCAAGGTGGGTGCATTAAAGGCATGTGACGTTAGGTATGTAGCTCAACTCTATAATATTTGGGTAGCATGCCCAGCATGCCACAAAACCACACTGAAGAGACTTCACTGTGTTGATGGGTATTTAATGCAGCTGCATTCATTGATGTACACTTTAGAATTATGTTTCAGTATTATGGAGGGATGACACATGTAGGGAACACCATAACCCAGTTCCCCAAATTCTACTTCCCCTATGAAGGATAGGCTAGGTGTGTCTGTAATCCCAGTGCTCTTATGGAAGATAAGAGTTGGAGATAAGAGAATCTCTGAAAGATTGCAGGCCAGCTAGCCTGGCATATGCCATGGCAAACAATAAAACATTGTGTATTGTGAAATGTGAGCTCATGGATGCCAGATACCCTCTGACTTCTATATGCACAGATACAGCAAGAGACAGACAAATAGAGACAGAAACATACACAGAGACAGAGAGGAAGAGAGAGATTTAAAGACAGAAGAACTACAAAACTGATCCCTGTGTAGTAGTGCAGACCTATGTCCCAGCACTTTGGAGTTTGAGGCTAGAGACCACCATGAGTTTGAGTCCAACCTGGAAGAGAGTCAGTCTTTCCCCACAAAAATCCAAAGTAAACTACAGAACTGAAATAAATTTCCCAGACCTGTTATTATCTTGAAATGATATGATTTAGGAGACAAGATGAAGAAAAAGAGTAATTACAAAGACCCTCATAGATAATAAGATGTTTGCTAATGTTGATCACAAAGCAAATACTCCATTATTTAACAATAATGTGAGTCAGAGAACGGGCAAAGATGAATATTATCACATCCAAAAAAAACTATCCTGAGAATATGTGATCGGGAAGAAAAAGAAAATACTCTCAAGTTGGAAGGCCAGCAAGGAAACAGCCCAGTCTCCTGATGATTACCTGGATGGCCAAGGGTGACTCCTAAATCATGATAAAAGATCCCACACTTCTTATTCACTATGGGCACAGGAAGTCACCAGGTCTGCAGTCCTCTCCAGTGTCTACACCACATTTCATACACCTCCCCTGCTATACACCCCTACATAAGAGGCTCTGTGTCCCAGAGGAGCCCAGGAGCTGCAGCAACTCATTAAAGGCAATCATTATCCATGACCTCTAAATGACCAGTTCTCTCAGAGTCCTACTGAAGTGAATGATAATAGCCAGTGACACATGTAACTAAATTTTAGGGCAAAGTAGAGTGGGAGAGAAACTTATGGAGAGTTTGACAGTTGCTAAAATAACCAGAAAGTACATATTCAAGGACATAACATAATATGTCTTAGAACATATTTTTTTAAGTGCCTGTTAAAGACACACCATTTCCCTTTCTTTAAAAAACAACTAATCAATTAATTTTTTACACCCCAGACACAGTTTCCCGTGCCTCTTCTCTGCCCAGTACCTCCCTTTGCTCTCCCATCCACTGCCCCCCATTTCTATTCAGAAAAGGGCAGGCGTCCCATGTACAAAACAAAAACAAAAACAAAACAAAAAAAAACAAAAAAACCATGCTCTATCAAGTTGCCGTAAGACTATAAACCTCCCTTTGTATTAAGGCTGGGCAAGGCAACCTGGTTTGAGGAATAGGGTCCAAAAAGCCAGTAAAAGAGTTAGAGACAGCTCCTGCTCATATTTTTAGGTGTCCCACTGCAAGACCAAGCTATACAGCTGTCACATATATGCAGAGAAGACACCATTTTCAAAGGTTACAATTTGACATTCCGTGAATACATTGTAACCCTCTCTAAACTTGTAAAAATGCAGATAAGACATCATTTTCAAAGGTTGCAATTTGGAACTCTGTGGATACACTGTAACCACCTGTAAAGCCTTTTGAGGAATGAGTGTGTTACTGGCTTAGATCAGACTTCTATGACCCCGCTTTCTATACCTGTTAGTATATGTTAAGGATAGGAATGTGTGAAAATTATACAACCACACAATATTTAATTGCTAAGAAAAAAATGAAACACACATTCCCATTTTTTAAGGTGACTTTTGACTCCTTAGCTTAGAGAAAAAATCTTAATGTCACCCATCACCACTGTCTTCTGAGCTACTCTCTCTGTAATATTCCAGCCTAATAATAAAGTCCATGCCTCTGTTATTTTTTGAAGCAATAGCTTAGATCCATAATTTTGTTTTTGACTAATCCTTTATTGTATATAGCAAACATCTGTTCCTGGTCTAGCTGGGACCTCCCGCTCCCCTAAACTCTCTTTCCCCTGACCTTTGCCCTCCATTACCCCTCCCACCTCAAGTTTGCTCATGTAGATCTCATCCATTTCTCTGTTGTTGGGCGATCCCTGTGTCTTTCTTAGGTTCCTCTTTACTAGGTAGCCTCCCTGGAGTTGCGAGTTGCAGTCTGGTTATCCTTTGCTTTATATCTAGTATCCACTTAAGAGTGAGTACATACCATGTTTGTCTTTCTGAGTCTGGGTTACCTCACTCAGGATGATCTTTTCTAGTTCCATCCAAGTGTCTGCAAACCTCATGATGTCATTGTTTTTCTCTGCCGAGTAGTACTCCATTATGTATATGTACCACATTTTATTTATCCATTCTTCCGTTTTCATATTTGGGAATATGCATCTCCATTATTCTTATGTTATTTGGCCCAATATAGGTCATATTAACATTTACTTTGGGATATGAAATATTACTATTTCTTAGAGAATCCCCAGAAAATGACACAGTATTACTTGTTTTACTCT